GCTAGGGGCTAGGCTAGGCTAGGCTAACCACGGTGACGGTTCCTTGGCGCGTGCCCCCCTGGACTTCTCGGCATGAGTCACTCCCTGCCATCGTTGGCTCTCCCTCAATCCACTGGTCGACGTGGGTGCCGGCAAAGCGAGCCTCCTCCGGTTCAGCTGCTTGCTCCCGCCGCCAGTTAACATCTGGTTTTCGTGGCTCTGCTGCACTTCTGATGGAAATCATCAAAGGCAGCAGACGTTGGGGCATTGATCTGCCCCTGCTCCCCGCCATCAGACATGATGTGTGGCCTTTGCAGACAGCGCTACGGAGCAAGAGCTCCCCATCTGGCCAACTCGGCTTCCTGCCATTTTGCGCCGCCGGGACCAAGCATCTCCTTATTTTGCTTCCCAGGCGATGCCTCTTGGCACCCCCCTGCATTCAGCGGCATGCTGGAAACTGACAAGACTCCACCCGCGAGCTCTGCTGCACTGATGGCAGAGCTGCAGGTGCTGTTAGCCGAAGCAGCTACTGTATCTCGGTGGTGCCACCTGGGCAGGAGCGCGAGGGCTTCTTCTCGTGCTACTTCCTAGTTTCCAAAAGACCCATCTTCGATCTGTCTCTCTTCACCAATTACATAGTACAGAGACAGTTTCACATGCTCACCATAAACAGGTACTGGAGTGTGTGCGTTCCATCGATCTGTGAGATGCCTATTTTATTCATACACCTATTATCCCCAACACAGGAAGTTCCTGCGTTCCTCCTCCCAAGGTGCACTTTTCCAGTACGACAGTCTGCCCTTCGGCTATTCACTGGCCCCCCGCACGTTTTTCCAAGCGCGTGGAAGTAGAGTTAGTACCGTTACACAGAGCAGGAGTCCGAGCCCTCTTTTATTTAGACAACCTGATTCTGATGGCGTCTGCCAGACATCACACAGTGGTGCTGGTGCAACTCCTGACACAACTGGTTTTTGTAATAACTGGACAAAGAGCTCTCCGGTGCCCACCCAGACAATTGTCTACCTGGGAGTGCACTTAGACTCTCTTAGCATGGAAGCGAGGCTGTGACCTGCCAGGTGAGAAGTGTTTTCATTTCTCCTGCAGCATGTTGTTCCCCACAGAAGACTAACAGCTCTATCTGTCATGTTTTTACTGGAAACAATGTCAGCCAGTCATGTCGTAGTTCCTCTCGGTCTTCTTCATAGGAGGAAGTTCCAGATGTGGTTCGGTCGTCTGCGCCTCGACCCAGTGCGCCACAAGAGGCGCGTGCTCACAATTCCCCCCTTGGTTCAATCAGACCTGGCGTACTGGGGAACTCCCACCGTCAGCACACTGGGAGTTCCCCTGGGAAGAGCCACATCACATGTCTTGGTGTTCAGAGACCTGTCTCTGCTCAGCTGGGGAGGCACATGTCCGTCACAGGCTGTGGGAGGACGATGGAATCACACCCCGTCTCTCCACATTGACTGCCTGGAACTAGCTACGGTGCTGAAGGTGGTGAAACACCTTGCACTGGTGCTGAGAGGAAGACACATAGTGGTGCGAATACAGGCATCTGATTATCTCTGTACGCTGTTAGCGCCCGTATGCTCTTGCAATTTAACTGTTATCTGTGCGCTCTTCCCTGCACTTCTCCTCCCCTGTTAACAGAATGGCCATTCTGCCTTTTTACAGGGGCAGTTAGGTGTTTATATGGGCATGATTGCACCTGCTTCTCAGGCAAGGCCTGATACAGGAGAGAGGATGTTGTTTGGGCTGCTATTATGGGGTATGTTGGCAAGCTGAGGTGTGTTTTAATGCTCTTGGGCAGCGGTGTGCCAACAGGGCATTGACTACATCCAGCTGCGCTTTTATCCCAATAGCGACAGCTCTTAGAGGGCGGAGCCTATACGAAATAGAACGATGGTTACGTACAGTTACAATGCAAAAAGGAAAAAGCATTAATTCCATTCATACTTAATCCTAGATATGAAATTGTTTATAATCCACAAGATATTAATAACGTATTCCAAACCTTTTACAGTAAACTTTACTCCCCAAATTACAACCCAAATTCATCAGAAAGACATTTTTTTAGTTTAGAACTGCCAACATTATCCAGAGAACAAGCTGACAGATTAGATGCTCCTCTCACCATTGACGAACTCCACAAAGCACTGATTTCAATGCCAAATAACAAATCACCTGGACCTAATGGACTACCAGCTGAATTTTATAAACATTTTTGGCAAATGCTATCACCACTGTTTCTCAAAGTCACCACAGAAATTAAAGACACCTCCACAATACCAACACACATGAACACAGCCATCATGACACTCTTATTAAAACCAAACATAGACCCAATCCACCTTTCTAGTTACCGTCCCTTATCACTTATTAATTCATTTAAAAATTACCAAATTACCAAAGTCCTAGCCACTACAGTAGAATAGAGACAGTCACTCCAATATTAATCCACCCAGACCAAACAGGTTTCATTAAAAACAGGAATGCTTCAGACAACATCCGTAGATTATTTAATTTAATTATTCTTGCACAACAAAAACAAACCAAAACCATAGTTTTATCACTATATGCAGAGAAAGCATTTGACAACGTTAACTGGACATTTCTCTTTTGTACATTATGCAGATTTGGGTTTGGAGAGTTGTTCATCCATTGGATAAGAACACTGTACACATCACCTAGGGCAACAATAAGTACAAATGGGATCAGGTCACAAAGTTTCATTTTACAGCAGGGTACCAGACAAGGATGCCCACTGTCACCATCTCTATTTGCCATTTTCATCGAACCTCTTACAGCAGCTATACGACAGAACAATATAATTAAAGAAATACAAGATACTTACTCAGAATACAAAATTACGCAGATGATTTATTATTATATTTACAGGATCCCTATAATTCTCTACAGGAAACTTTACATATTATTAACACATTTTCTAAGATCTCAAACTACACAATAAACTGGAATAAATCCACCATACTACCACTCTCTGAGGATGCCTGGGATTCTGCAGCTCAAGACTCCTCCCCCCAATTCTGCACAGGCAACATTAAATATCTTGGTATTAATATCTCTCCCAGGCTGTCAGAACTTTTTAATCTCAACTACACCCCCCTGCTAAAAAAGATAGAAGATGATTTTAAACATTGGTCCAATCTTCCTCTCTCACTCATTGGTCGAATAGCTACTGTCAAAATGAAAACTCTACCTCTACAACTATCGGTTTACAATGCTTCCTACAACACCCACAGATAAATGGTTTAAATCGCTTGATTCTATAACTTCACAATTTTATTGTAAAAACAAGAAACCCAAAATTTCTCCATCTACACTTCAAAAGAAGAAATCACTAGGTGGCCTAGAAGCACCAAATTTCCAATATTACTACTTGGCAAATCAGCTACAATATTTAGTCAAATGGATTCAGAAGGATAGTTACAACAGTGTATGGATAGAATTAGAGCAAAATTACTGTAAAAATAACTTAAATAACTCGGTTGCAGACCTCAATTTTATTGGAAAAACAAGAAACCCAAAATTTCTCTATCTACACTCCAAAAGAAGAAATCACTAGGTGGTCTAGAAGCACCAAATTTCCAATATTACTACTTGGCAAATCAGCTACAATATTTAGTCAAATGGATTCAGAAGGATAGTTACAACAGTGTATGGATAGAATTAGAGCAAAATTACTGTAAAAATAACTTAAATAACTCGGTTGCAGACCTCCCTTTTCTACCAAACTCTGCTAAGAAAATGAATCACTGTAAGAACATCACAATCCTCTCAACTCTGACAGCCTGGTGGAAAGTAAACTAAATCACTAAATCATCACTTGCACCATGTAGATACACTCCAATATGGCACAACCCTGATTTTCAACTGCATAATAACCCTATCTATTTCCCAGCATGGCAACACAAAGGAATCACTCACTTACATCACCTATTTGAAAATAACCTGTTCATATCATTTAAACACTGATCCAGAAGTACGGAGTTCAGAGAGAACAGTTCCTCCAGTGCAATCAGCTAAAATCCATAATTAAGTCAAAGATTAGTGTAACCAATAACCCACTACAGCCTTCCATTAATTGAAGAAATTATGAAAATTACATTCTCCAAGAAAATAATATCCAAGCTATATAAACTCATATCAAATACAGACTCCCAAAACTCAAATGGGAAAATTATTTAACTCTCCCCCTCAACTCCGACTTCTGGACAGAAATTTGCAATAACATCTTTTCTATGACCAGCAATGCAAACTTACAACTTATACAATACAAGACCATTTATAGGACCCATATTACACAAAGTAAACTGTTCAAAATGGGTTTCACTAACACAGATATCTGCTCACAATGCACTCTAGATTGCACCGACAGTTATTCTCATGCTACTTGGACCTGCCAACCAGTTCATTCCCTCTAGATACTGTAGCAGTGACAGAGAAACTCTCCACCATCTTGGGCTGTAGAATCTCTCTTTCTCCATCACTTACTTACTTGGTAATATCACAGACTTTGACCACCTACCAGTTAAATATAAAAACCCACTCCTCATTTCTCTAGCTATTGTCAAGAAAACAATCTTTCAAAACTGGAAATCAAAGAAATCATTATACATAAACCACTGGACCAACCTTCTGATAGAATACATCACATTAGAGAAAATGGCATCCACTGACAAGAACAGTTTATCAGCTTTTTGATTTGATCATTATTATTGGTAATTTTATTTATTTATTTTCCCTCCTTTTCCTTTCCTTTTCAAAAATCAAATCAAATCAAATCAAATTTTATTTGTATAGCGCCAAATCACAACAAAAGTCATCTCAGGACACTTTACAAAGTAAGGTCTAGACCTTACAGTTATCAATATTATTACATAGGGAAAACCCATCAAATCCCCCTTGAGCAAGCACTTGGCGACAGTGGGGAGGAAAAATTCCCTTTAATGGAAGAAACCACCGACAGACCCCGGCTCTTGGTGGGCGGCTTTCTGCCTCGACTGGTTGGGGTGAGTGGATAGAGGGGTGACTGAATAAGTTGGAAATACCCACATTTCACACACTACAATCTTGTAAAATACTCTATATCCTTTTGTAATGTCATGTAACTGTTGTCTTTTCTCCCATGTTCGGTCCTGTTTTGTTAGTGTGTTACTTTGTTTCAATAAAAAAAACAACAACAAAAAAAAAAACAAAACAACAAAACAACTAACTAACCAGAACATAATAACTCTGACACAATACTGTACACCTAGTGCAACCTGCAACAGTCATGTGTGTCCTGTTGGGGGAGCTATGGCTCTGTCAGTCTCATATTTAATACCTTGTGTCTCTTCATTTAATAATTTTTCTCTGTCTTAGGTACTGAGCCTGTGGAGGGGTTACCTGGTTCTAAACAAGCAGCCTGTCAGGGTAAATCAAAACTCCAATGTTAAAACATCTTTCAAAACTGAGCCTAAATTAAAGCAATGTCTGCTCATGCATCCTCATTATAGGTTTTAAAAATCTATTATTTTAATGTGATAGTATTTTCACCAGTCAGTCATGTTTCCATGTAAACATTTCAGTTTGTGTCACAATTGTTTGAGACTGGAAGATGTGAACTAACAAAAAAACAAAAAACAAAAAAAAAAACGGTTGTAACATTCCTGTAACACCAGTCTTGCAAGCCTGCAGATTTTCAGAATGGAGAGATCAGACTGAGCAGTTTAATAAGAAAAATTAAAGAAAAAATATAGGTACCTCAAACCTATGATATACTAATTGGAATTCAGTGGTTTTGATTTAATGCTTGCATTTAAGCCATGCATATCATGTTGAGATATTTGCCCCTTGTATTGTTGTCTTTGTAAGGAGCAGTTTCAGTTTTACAGTAATGTAAAACTGTGATGAGGACAATTCCGCACTGTGAAATTTTAGTCACTAACTTGAAAGACTGAACATTAGAATTAGGTTCAGGTAAGGTTATGGAACTTTATGTCAATGATGGTCTTCACAAATATAAAAGGACAAACATTTGCTTGTGTATTTCCACACCCATTGGTGTCCGTTTACAGGTGGAGAGCACATTCAGCTACCTGGAGATTTGCTCCATTAACATTCACAGTCTCACACAGGTACAAGTAAAACTCAAAATAGATTATGATTGATTATGACAATGTATTTTTGCAGAGTGTAAACATCACATGTATAATGTAATATATGTTTTGCAGATTATGTTGCAGACAGACCGGCAGACTCTGTCTTTCAGTGTGCTGCATGTTGAGGAACTTGAGGCCATGGTCAGTCATATGATTGGCTCATTGAAGAGGATCTTCCCTGACTCATCTCCAGGGTAGGTCTCACTCTGTGTTTAACTCCATGCTTCATGTTTAAATGTACACCAATGACTTCCATGCAGAATTTGAGCTGCAGTCTTTATATACTGTATCCCCCCTTTGGCTCAATATGTAGATGATAAAAATACTTAACTGCATATCAAGTCAAAATTTTAACTTTGCACATAATGTGCTGAAAGATGCATGCATGCAAGGTGTTGTTCCTTCCAGTTGTCTTAGATTCTCCAAGGGCTTGGACCTCCACTGGACAGATGAACAGCATTCGTACAAAGCATATTCCCTCATTAGGGGTTTTGGTAATGGTGGTGCAGAGCGCTATCTAACATGTCTCTCCGTAACCTCCCATAGTTGTTTGGTTGCGGTATGGTGACTGTGAAGGCCACACCATATAATCACATCATTTAAAAAAATGATTTAGTGATCTCTGTGGCCTTTATGGGAGCATCTCCATTAACTACATTTCTACACTTATTCATATTTCTCATCTGTCATCTGTCTTTATTTCAGAACAGGAAGATTTCCTTGAAACGTATTCAGCACATTTATGCTCACATTGGTTTAGATGGCCCTATGAACATTTCTTTTACATCACATTCAGGACAAATTGTTTTCTAGCCATACCAGTAGCATGGCTTTAGCAACATCCCACCCAGTGTCCTTGAGCAAGACACTGAACCCTCAGTTACCCCCTGTGATGACACTGATGCTTGAATTTGGAAGTGTGAATGGCCAAATAGTGTGAAAGCACTTTGAGTGTGCTGCAATGCATAGAAAGGTGCTATACAAGACCATTTGATCCCCTGACATTTCCTCCAGTGCTACCATGAGGTTGACATTCATGGTTTGAAGTGAAATATCTCAGCTATTATTGCCCATCCAGGTTCCACTTGGGATCAACTGTAGTAACTTTGATCCCCTAATTTTTCATCAAGCAGAATCAGCAGATCAAAATTTGAGTTTGTCCAACACTTATGGTTTGGTCTATGGCCAAATACATTCAAAATTAACAACACTGGGGGCAATTTATTGAGGTTCTCAGCTCAGTTTTTGGTCCCAAACAGTAAAACCTTTATGTGCAGATTCCATCACACTCAGGAAGAATTGGTGCATTATCCTGATAATATTATCCAATAAATGTAAATTAGGATCACTGTCACAGTCTCACAGTACACCTGCTTCTTTAACCATTACATACAGGTGAAACCTCCTGAGATAATTAGCCTGCACCTGGTTGAGTAATGAAACAAGCCAGGTTTTTAGGGTACAGGAAAAAGTCTCACATGAAGCCCAGCAATGGGCTTTCTAATTCAACTGAATCAAAAGGAACCAAGGTCACACATGGACCACAGGTCAATATGAACAATTATGGAATGAATACAAAAATGTATGTCTATACAAAGATGTTCAGGCATGCACCACAAACATTGGGCATGCAGCCGTTCACTATTTACCGTTCACTATTTACCGCTTTATGAAGCGAAGATGTACTCAAATGAACACGGCTGCGGTGGCGCTCTTTTCCATCATCATGATACTTGTTCTACGGTCTGTCTGACTTATAGAGTATATTTATTACCCTTCAATCTTCAGAAAGCTGTTAAAGACAGTTACTCCAGATCTCCAGCAGAAACTCCTCACACTGACTACTATGATAGAAGAGCAAGTGAATAGCCAGTCTGGCTCCTGTGGTATGTGCCTTTCATTTTCAGGTATAGGTAAAGTGATCTAATTTCTATTCAACAGACCATCACCTGTATATCTAATAGGATTACAGTATGTGTTTGATTCTATGTTCCCCAGGAGGATTTTCTGACACCTATGCTGCTTTGTGTGATTTCAACGAGATGCCATTTAGAGAGGAGATTCAATGGGTACGTTAATGCTGTAAAACAACATTAAATATGTTAACACAGGATGTGTGCCAAACTTCACAAAGGCTTATTAGAGACCAAATAATGGGTAAACATCATTTAACTTGTATACTAAGCTTCCATTTGAATGTTCTCCCATTCTTTGGCACATGTAATTGTATATTATCAACTACCAAAAACTACTGAAGTTACACTTAATTGCCATTTGACAGTAATCAAATGTTAGCATTAGTGTATCCAAATAAAGCATGGCTAACTGTTGTGCTAGGATGTTGACAACATCTACTACATCCACAACTGGAGAAAGTTCAACCTGCAGGACTTCAGCCACTTAGACAGCAGGTGATATACATACAGAGCTGTTTCATCCAATCTTACTTCACCTCAGTTACATGCTCTGTTTAAATACTTCTTTTTGTTTTCCCTGTCCTCCTAGAGATTTGGCTTTAGCAGTAGCAGCTCTGTCCTTCAACCAGTGGTTTACCAAGATCTACTGCAAGGAACTTAAACTGGTACACTCTCTTGTTGGTTCATTTCTATGTGTTCTAGTGTAGTTCAAAACTGTGAAAGAGCATGTAGACGGCCCACAATCCCATGTCATAAAATAGCACACACAGAGTGCAATCCTCCACCAAGGCAGCTGTTTCTCCATAATGCCATTACACCTATAAGCAAGTTCCCATGATAGTTTGACCGTCATAATATAATTCCCTGAGCATGAAAACCTACCCCGAGCATTAGGAATCATATTGAAACCATTACTTGTTTGAAAGTGTTTCAAGAAAATTTATAGACATGAGCGATTACTAAATGTCGCTGCAGGCTGGAATAATATGTACCTACACTCCGGTTGTCTTCACTACTAGTGCTCACAATGGTTTCAAAGTTGCGCTGACAGTGGTATTTTAACCTGAACATTGACTTTTTGCAACATTGTCACATTGTGTCACCTCTTGAACACAGTTAACACAGCTAATTTTCTGAAATAACTTTTTATCATGTAAAGGCAATTTTTCTGTGAATTTGGGATTTTTATGTTGTTATTCTGGATCAAAAACCAATGTATTTGGGTAACTTAACAATTAAAGATGCAGTTCCGTAAAGTTGGACAACTCACAAGAGACAGATTTTTTAAATCAGAATCAGCAGAGGCTCAGATGTGCAAAAGTTTGCATCCTCTTACACTGAAATGACAAAAAAAGAGTAAAGTGAAGAATCTTTTTCTCATCAGCATGACAGTTAATGCACATTCAGCTAGTACAACTGTTCCTTCATCAACAGAAGCAACAGAAGGGTCAGGGATTGTCCTCCCTGAGTGTCCCTAAAAGAAAGTTATAATGAAAATCACATCAGTCCCAAAGTTTGCACCTTTATGAAATGTTCTGTAATACTTTGTAAATAAATTTGTATATGTTCCCAGTACAAAATAGGCCCAAAAAGCACTGAAGCCTGCATTTCCCATAATGTGCCATTATACCTTATAACCTCTGTAAGAGGGTTTTTGCTGAATCGACAGTAATGTCTCCTAGAGCTTAAACAACAGATAGTTTCAGATTAGTTTGAGTCTTAATACAGTACTTATTGCCATATATACATTAAAAGAATCACTGGTTGCTGAAATATTTCCTTCACTTCATTCTGGCAGTGAACTAATAATTTCTTAGACCAAGTAGATTCTAAGAGATGGAGGACAAACTCCACAGTCCTTGTTCTGTGTAAAATTCAGTTCTAAAGTTGAAGTAAAAAGACACTTCAGTGGTCTGAGTTAGACAAGACAACTGGGTATCTTCCACTGTTATCATCTTTAATACCAAGACAGGTTCTTGCTGAGTTGAAGTTTAGTAACACTTCAAACTAGAAAGTATTGTATATAAGATATAGCCTATTGGACAATATCTGAACACAGTTTTTAAACTGTATATGTGTCAGATTGCAGTGTTTGGCAGCATAGCATGAGATTGCTGCCATTAAACTTTACTGTACTGAACTTTCAAGAATTTGAAATTGAATGAGACCATGCCAACAGGGAGATGAGGAGTTTGTTACTTCCAAGGCATTATTTGAACAAATCTTCCCAAACTGTTGGATTCCTAGAGAATTTACGAATCAGTGGAAGATGCATTGCCAAATTTCTCTGCACCGAACATCTCAACCATAAAAATTAATCATGGTAAAATAATACTGGACATTTGCTTTTGTCTGTCTTTGTTTTTATCCCTTCAGTCAGTATATGTCCAGCAACAGCTGACCTTCCTGCTGTCCAGATCGCCCAGTCTGAAGGAACTCTCACTGGAGGCCGGTGGACTCAAACAGTGAGTTTTTGTGTGACTCAGTGTAGACAAATACTTCCCTCAAGAAGACTTAATCTTTCTACTTCTTTGGGAATGCTGCTCAGTGACCCACAGATTTTGACATTTAAGGTTGTAGAGATGATTCCTAAATTCAGTACATTTTTTGCACAGGCTGATCCTGTCCACTGGTGAGGGGCTTTGGATTGGCCACATTTTTAAAAACTGGGATGTAATGATGCTGTAGAGATCCTTAAGTTGGCTCCACACTAGAAGATAATTGGCCAGGTTTGGTTTCTAGTCGCCCTTCTTGATGATTGCAGAGGTGTTCCTGTCTTGAGACTGGTCTGAACTAATTATTGTCTTAAATGATCTGGCGAATTAGCCCCCAAATCTGACAGATTATCCTCTAGTGTGGGGCCAGCTAAATGCGTTTAATATTTGCAATTTGAAATCCTGTAGTGTGAAAGCACCAGTGATAGAATGTTGAGTAGAAACCACAATAGGCAATGAGAGCAAGCTGACCAGGAAGCATTGCCATCAGCTCATGCTGCAAAATGCTGATGTGTCTTATCAACCATGATTTCATCCACACTTTTCTGATCTTTTTTTTCACACAACATAACACATACAGTACAAATGCTTCTAGCTAAGGGCAGTTTAACTCTATCTTTGTTTGTTTTTTTTGGTCTGAAGCCCCATTTGATCATGCAAGTGTCTGTGAGATCCCAAGTCCCTGGAATCACAACTTTGAAACAGTTTAGTGTAAATGTGTGGTCCTGCATCTTGTCTGAATCATTTGGTGTGTGCGTTCTTAGGATTGCAATATTAAAAATTGGTTAAATCTGTTGTTTGTGGTCTCGCATGTTTTTAAAATTGGTTACAATTTGAAAATCCCCTAGTGTGCACCAGGTGTTAGTACAATCAATACCATCTTTCATCTGAAACTGTTTTCATGTAGGATGATGTTCACAAGACGGAGGCTACAGCTGACTGGTTTTGCAGTTAGTTTTGGATTTGTCATGTGAATGCTACTTTAGGGGAGAGTTCCAATAAACCTCCCTAAGACTGTGCAGTTTCTGGGCACTGATCTGTTGTTTCCTGTCAGCTGATTGACTGGAGGAAGACAGACACCACCTCATAACTAAGGCAAATATATTTCATTATAGTTTAGTTTTTAGCTGTAGTAGGTGCAATACCAAGCCTTGCTTTGAGCACCAAAATAAATATAGATGCAACTGGGGTATTCAGATCAGTCTCATAAAAATCAGTCCCATAAATGATTAACATTAACTGGAATTTTAATTAACAATTACAATTAACAAAATTAATGGAAAATCAGCCAGTGCTGTTATGTTACATTATGTTTTATTTATGGATTATTGCCATAGTAGAATCCAAGGGATAACATGCCCCAAAAGCTGTCTTGTAGTGGACTCAAGAGAAAAGTCTTTTTTGGGAGAGAGTGACATTAAATGTGTTAAATGTGTGCTGTAGTCTGGGCTTCAACTTGAGATGCACGAGTGACTGTTGCAGATGGATCCAGAATCATCAGCTGGATCCAGAATCTGCATGTGAAGTGCACAAAGACAGAGATTTCATTGTTTTAGAAATAAAAAGAATCCAATTGCTTTTTACATAAAAAAAAACTGCATGGACTGCTGTAAAAATTAACAGGTTAAAGTAGATAATCGCACAAGAAACATGACCGAGTACCTTATGATAGAACGGCGACTGGATGGTAAGGTAAGAGACATGGTCCTATGCTTGTTGTCCTCATTTCTTGAGGCGACAGTGGTGTGGTGGTAGAACAGTTGTCTTTCAACCAGAAAGTTCAAGGTTTGAATCTTGCCGACAGTCCACGTGTTGAAGTGTCCTTCGAACTGAACCCCCCTGTTGCCCTCTAGCCATCGGCTGTGGTGGCGCCGCAGATGGCTGCCATTGGTTCTGTACCAGAAACAAATTCGTTGTGTGTATTCCTTGGCCAATAAAGGTGATTAGCCTTATTTCTGCAGAAAAGCATGTCCTCTCTTTGCAGTCATGATATACAGCTCAGAGAGGACAATTTTAGTCTTGCTGGCTGCTTTTAAGGTTTGGTGAGCTTATATGTCATATCCTATCAATGGAAGAATTTTACCAGTAGGTCCTTGGGTAGAGTACAGGTAGGAAGATGTTAATTGGAGGATTGTGGGAAACAGTCCATGTGACTGTAATAGTCCCTACATGGGGTTCATCCAAACTCTCCTACATACTTCCACATTTCTCTCACTTGCATCTTTTCATTTTGTCTTAGTCCCTCCCTCATAATATGCAAGGAAAAAAATGCAAGGAGAGGAACTGAGGAAACACACACACAAGGTGTCCTTTCCACTGATCCTTCATCTGAAGCATCCCAGTCCCCAACTGATTTCTGACAAAGGGGTGTGTCAGTCCATAAAAGACTTTCATAAAACATGCTCTCTTGTATCCTTGCTCATGGCTCCTCCAGCAACCTTCTCACTCCTTGATCCTCACTTCTCAGATCAGATAAAGCAGTCTTGGGGCATCCTCGATCCTTGTCCAATTGGGAGAGTTTCTGGGTAGAGCAAGGATCAAGGAGTGAGGAACAATCATATAGGAGAATTGGGATGTACCAATACTGTAGCTATTGACTAAGAAGATACCTTTACTCTTCTGCAGGGACTTTGCAATCAAAATGGCAGCTGCCCTACAGGAGCACCCTTCATCTGTTCTGCAATCTATCAACCTCTCAGGCAATCCAATTGAAGACAAAGGTGGGCTTTTGGTTTTTTATACATCACATCCGAGTGGTCTTTGCCGTCCCTAGTATGCTAGTGGTTAAGGCGCAGCGCTCTCGCCACTGCACCTCGGGTTCGAATCAGGGTTGCGTCAGGGAGGGCATCTGGCGTAAAACACGTGCCAAATGTCAACTTGTCAGTGTGACGATTTGCTGTGGCGACCCCTAAACGGGAAAAGCCGAAAGTGACTTTCACATCCGAGTGGTCTTTACACAGGAGTTTTCCATTTTGAACCTAGTGGCCGATTTTACTGTTTATGTCTCCCTCTTTGTAGTTTTGTCAGTTAGTGAAATGGGCTGCTGGTGTAGTGTTGGTTCACATGTTTGTGTTTTTCATTCATACTAATAAAATTCACGTACATGCACATTGCACGGATGCGCAAAAGGCCCATGTCACAGCAAACATCTAACATGTCAAAGCAGAGAAAGTATGGGCTTAAAGAGCATTTAGCAGTGGCCTGTCATGATCCTACCCCTCCCTGCCTCCACTTCACCCAGACTCCTGGTAACGGCACCTCATCTAACACAGTGGTTTCACCTGCGCCTTAATCCTGCACACCTGTTTCCCACAGTATATAGCAGCTCCTCACTCTGTGGGGAGCTGCCAGATTGTTCTATGCCCCGTCTAGACTTTCCAGCATTACCCACTCTTGTGCCTAACTACCCAGAGATTGACACCCTGCTTGTTATACCGACCTGTGAGTTTGCCTCTCCCCTCTTGTCCGCCTGCTCTCCTGATACCGACATCCTGCCTGTTAGATTGACCTGTGATCCTGCCTTGCCTACCCTGCTGCCTTGCTGGAGATTACAACCTTGGACCAAACTGACCCTGCTTCCTGCTTTGTCCCTGAAAGACTGTTACTGTTTCTGCCTGTGTCAAAGAGATATTAAAACCAGTTCTACTGTCACAGCTTGCTCACTCTTTAATAGGGTTCACACACCTACCTCCACAGGAACTGTGCACTCCAGTTCTGTGACAGGCTCCATTTTATTAGAAACTGACTCACCTGCTGTAGGTGAAATGCAGCCATCATTAATGTTATGTGCTTTTCCTGTCGTGAATAAAGTACCTAACTATATGTAATACAAGATCTCATGACTGTATTCATGCATGCAATGCATTTTAAAATGACTATAATGATTTGATTTGTCTTTGTGCACAAACAGTGCACTTTAGTTTAAATCAGTACCTGTACAGGATTTCAGACCTCTGTTTGTGTGTGTGTGTGTGTGTGTGTGTGTGTGTGTGTGTGTGCGTGTGCGTGTGTGCGCGTGTGATGTTTTCAATCCTAGGTGTAATAGCTCTCAGTCAAGAGTTGGGGAATCTACCTGAAGGACTCAAACAACTATCTCTGTCCCGTGTATTAATGACTGCTAGAGGTACACACACGTACACGTGTCCCTCACTGGGATTACATTTTACCACACACCTACAAACTGGTCTAGTTTTTGCTGCAGTTTTATAAACTGGCAAGGAAAGCAGGATGAAGATGGAGGTAGAGGGGGTGGGGGGCAACCCTGGACACTGTACTGTATGACATCATAAACCTCCATTAACCTCCTCTTCCTCAGACTTCTCACTGATTCAGTTCTCCATCCTGCTCTTTATTCTGTAAATGAAGGGCAGACCGGGCTGTGATGTCTCATATGAAGCCTGCAACCACCAAAGTCATTTCCAACTAAATGCAGTTATCACAGTCACAACATTGTCTTTACAAGCAGTTGTCCTTCTTTGACAGTGTAGTCTCTATTTGTGCATGGTCTGTTTTCAGGTCTTGGCTGTCTGAGTCAGGTGTTATCTTCATGTCAGCTCTTCTCAGCTTCCCTGACCCATCTCAATCTGTCTGGTAACCCCGGCAGTCTGGTTACTGAAGAAGCCACGGTATGCTCTGCTTTGCGTGTGTGTGTGTGTGTGTGTTGCCAGCTGATTCAAGTGTTGTCACACTGTTCAGAGGCTATTATCAGTGGTTATCACACCCACAAAATTATTTGAGGAGACATCTCCCACATCTCAGTATCAACAAATCTGGTAATTAGGTGACGTCTAAATTAGACTTAACTATAATATAACGACGATAACAACCTACTGAAACTACCTGTGGATGGAGTACAGACTGCTTGATCTCTACTGGAACTACAGTCCAACAAACAGTTAATATGAGCTGGCAACTGACGTGATAGCATCCAAAGCAGGTGGTGTTCCATGTGAAATGATATGGATTGAAGTGAGATGTTTCAGCTGAGAGGTTTGGGAGAAATCCTGATGGCGGGTACAGTTCTGGTTCAATGACTGGGTTAACTGAGCTGCAGCTATACTGACAGAAGGAACAGGCCATTCAACACAATGTATTAAAATGAAGAGTGAAAGATGAAGGGAAAATAGAAATGCCAGTGATACACTGCAGGCTTCAGCTACATGTTTTAGAACGCTGGATATGTTCCCCACATGTGATTGGTGTAACAGCAGACTTTTCAGAATTGCAAAAATGCAATACAAGGTCAAGTTGAAATATAGGATATTGTTCAGGTTTGGGTGACTGGGCATGACTGACCAACAATTTCTGTGCTTAAACAAAAAAGCATGATATGCAACTGTGGAAATTATGCACAATAATTAAAGGAACACTGTTTAACTCTGAGACTGAAAGCATTGAGGCCTTTGTACAGTGAGGAACAGAAGTATTTGAACACCCTGTGATTTTGCAAGTTCTCCCACTTAGAAATCATGGAGGGGTCTGAAATTCACATTGTAGGTGCATTCCCACTCTGAGAGACAGAATTAAAAAAAAAATTCAGGAAATCACATTGTATGATTTTTAAAGAATTTATTTGTCTTGCACTGCTGAACATAAGTATTTGAACACCTGAGAAA